AATAACGTAAAATCAAGGGCCCAATGTAAAAAACGGTGTTCCCCTTTGAGGAGAACTAATACCTGCATCAGTCAATGAAGCTAAAATAAACCTTTAAATGAATTTAAATCCCTATGACAGACTGTGGTTCTTAAATCCAGCAGCAAAGGACTCGCTGAACTGAGGGGAAAGATAATTAACACCTTTTCTTGGTTAGAATCTGAGTTTCCACAAAAAAAATGCACACATAATTTCTTCACTGTGTTAATTTTCTAGAACTTCGATGGATTTCTCTGATGGTTTTAAGCTTTCAGCCTCTCCATCCCCAGAGGATGCCCTGCTTTCTGGGCAATACGTCAACTTATTCATGTGGACGTACCAGATTGTTGGGGTTGGCCATCAGCTTGAGCAGAGCAGGATGGTTGTAGCCTGAGGGAGGAGAGAATTGGATGAATTTTAAAAACAAAACACACACAGTCCTTTCATCTCTCAGCAACAAACAAGATCCCTCTACCTCAGATCAACTCTTAGAAGTATTTATAACCCAGCTTGTGTTGGGAAAGATGCTCCGTTAGAGACGTGAATGTGATAGAGAGAAGCTGCTGAAAGATTGCAGCATATCTGAAAGAAGCAGGGTCTGATGTCTGCAGACGGACAGGATCTGCCTGCAGCTGATTACAAACGCCTCATCTTTGTGAAACTGCAGAAATCCTCAGAGCAAAGGGATCTCATCTCACTGCAGCTCAGTTTAGCTGTGGCTCTAAATAAAGGTTTGAAACAAAGACCACGACTTCCTGATCATTTCTGTCAGTCTGGAGAGAAACGATTAGCAGAAACCAAAGCTGCTCCATCACTGAGTATAAGTGGTGTCTGCATCTACAGGAGGAGCCATCAGTCTGCACTACAGAAAATAACCTGCAGTTGTCATAGCAACCATTGACATCTAAATGACTCAACACTCAGGTAGTGAACTCTACACTGCAAAAAAGGAAATCTAAATAACTATTTTTTTCTTAAAATAGGTGCTTTTGTTCTTGAATTGAGAAGGAAAGTGAGACACTTTGATAATGGAACAAGACGATTCACATTTAAAATAAGAAAAAACTATTGCATAAACGTATTGTAAGTGCATGTGATCTAATTCATGGTTTATACAGGAATGATTAACTCAAATTTAATGCTTTTTAATGCTGTTTTTATGGAAGTAAATCTGTGTCGCTGGGATTTGAATTAAAAATGCCACTGAAATTTAAATGTTGTATGTTTGT